CTCCTGGCCGTGCTGACAATGTGAACCGTGAACTTCAGATTGATTTTAAAAGATTAGCCTCAAGTCTAACCACAGTATTGGACGTTCTGTGATTTCTTGACTTGACTTAATTGTTCCTGCATGTTGTGTCTTTGTCGTATTTGGTTACAAGTTCCCTCCTTTACCCATAAACAGAACATATGCAGTCCAATTCCCACTGGCATTATTCCGTGTTGTAACGTAGTCCTTATTTGATTTTCCATGTTCATACTTTGAAAGCTTGGATCAGACATCTTCACTCTGCTCATGTAAACAGCGTGGTTCTGGAGTGAGGCGTGTTGACATAAGGTTGGACATAATGCACTGGGACAGGCTGAGTGTGTTAGCGTGTGCCCCCGGAGCTGTTTTCTGTTCAGATACAACTGGATTCACGTGTGATCAAAGAGAGACAGGAGGAGGCCAGTGTGACTCACATCAAATACATGTGTCAGAAGACTCGTCTACAGGGAACTGCAGGAGCACCCAGAGACACAGAGGGTTTTTTAAAGAGCTGCTCATCTACATAGGCCTATACACCAAATATCCTGAAGCAAAAGTTGATCATTTACCCTTTAACCACAGGAGTGCAGTTCTAATCCTGTCTAATTGCATTCTACTATGTTTCTATTTTGTTCAAAGACAAAGTGTCACCTTCACAGAATTTCTACTGCATATTGAAGTAGAAAATGGGTGCCAGTGGTGCATGATTATCTGTTCAAAATGCCACCACAATACCTTCTTTGTGTTGGACACTTTTTAGCTGGTTTCAACTGGAGGGGTATCCTGCCTGTAAACTGCTAAATCAACACAGAATTAATCAAAAGAATAATCCAAACAGTGAGGTGTGCTTGTATTGAGGCTTTGCCCTTCAGCTGTGGTGTGGTCAGACGGCTGCTGAGCCCAGTCCTCTTAAAACTCCAGCCAAGGAATTTATTACAACACAGGGTGTGTTTTATGAGAATGGGGCTGTTTGTCAACAGAAAACCCTGTGGTTTGGCCATATAAATCTGCAGTGGTCTAAGTGGTGGTTTGCACATTTGGGCTAATGTGTGAATGCTAACACAGCTACCACACAAACAGGGCAGAGACATTTTAGTTTAGCAATGATAGGGAAAGATTCTAAAGGCAACAATATCAGATTTGCATTCAAATAAGCAAAACACCAAACAATCATCACATTCATTGTACATGATAAGAAAATGTATTTGTGACAAGATATTTAAACGTTTTACTTATGTGTCACTGATCATATGATGATCGTAAGCAAGATTTCACTTTCACACAATCACATACATTTTCCCTACTTTTGATTATTCTGGGAACAGTTTAATATCAGGAGAAAGTGAAGTCAGAATCGCCCCTCCTGTCCTGATCTTACTCTTTGTGCAGGGGTCTTATATGGGCTCCTAGAGCCTCATTTTTCCTAATGCCTGTGTTATGGGAAGGGACAGCCAGAACTCCAGGGAGCTCCTCTGCATTCGCTCACATGGGAGACTCAGGCCGCATCTATATAAGGTAAAAGATCAGCGTCAGGCAGTGGATGGGCAGATAAAGGCCAAAATGAAACGTAAACACCAGTCCTGCGGCCCACCTTTCATGTGCACTGATCCTTTTGGAGCACGGAGCAGAAGAAAACGCCGCTAAGCCTGAGCCCAGAGCACCTTGACCTTTACATGCTTTCGCTCCAACCACTCAGATGAGAAACAACAGAATAACTTTGTACTGAGCCAACTTTAGCTCCACTCTCACCAGTCAGCGCGTTTATTTGGCCATCTCATTTTACTGCCGGACCAATTAACACCTTGTTGAAGCAGTGGGTGTAATGATGTATGTATACATCAGTGGCATACAGAGGGAGTTAGCAAGGACTCACATCTATAACAGCCAGGAGGCAAGGGTTTGTGTGCACATTAAAGTGAACAAAACTAATAGGCTTTTTCAAAACACTAACAGTTCAGTCGATGTTTATGTCCAAGCTTTGGCTGCTTGTGTTCTCTGTTAAGAAATCTGCAATCTGGAACATGAGGTTCTTAATGATGGCAAATTGGCCTCACGGCAAAAAGGTTCTGGGGCTAGGGCATTTCTATGTCAAGTTTGCATGTTTCTCCACGTACTTGGATTCCTTTGAGCACCCTGGTCTCCCCATCAACCCAAAACACTATAAAGTCCTCCAGCTAAGGTAGTCCTGACCAAGCCTAGCTTTGGATCTGGAGATGGGTCCCTGGGTGCAGCACTGTTAGGTGACTACAGCTGGATTCATGTGACTTCAGCTTGCAATACTATGGTGGTTGTATCAATGACTCTAATAGTACACCATGTTTCTGTACAGTTTGTCTGTTCCATCTTCTAAGTAATTTTCTGTTTGGTCATTTGTAAAGCAATTAGCTGCAAATAGCAATACAAAATTAATTCCTCAGATATTGTTTTGTTTTTCTGTTCTAATTCTTACTAAAGTATCTGTCTTTGTAATTAGTGTAGAGCAAACAAAAATCTAATGATTCACCAAATGGTTGATGAGCTGCAATGACCAATGCAAACCTCTAATATCTATTCCTGTGCCTTAAAGATCTGGTGAGTTGTAGTTTCTCCATTTGATTGGTGTGTGCATGACTTTCCTTTCTAAGCCATAAACAAAAGCACAGGAATGGTAAGTCCAAATGAAACTAAATCCTTATGGGAGTAGACCCCGTGGAAACTCTATCTGCGGGCTGTATGAAGTACAATGCAGCTGCTCCTATGGGCGCACAGCCTGGGGACCACTCCTCTCGGGCTGACTCCTGATATTTTGGTTGTGAGACGGGTCCATGGGCCTGGGGCAGAGCTGAGGAGAAACACAGTTGCTTTGGCAGATTCAGTTTCTGTGTATGACGGAGTGGACTGACAGCACGCATACCACAGACCAAAGACGCAACTTCAGCAACTTTGTGCAGAGGCCACTGGCACTAACATGTAATCACAGAACTGCTGGGGCTGCACACTATGGACTAAATGGTACTTATTGCAAAATCAGCATAGCAATATCACATGGAAAAGTGTGTACAGGGTATAGTTTACTACGGCATAGTGAAAGTCTATGCTGACCTGTCTGATAAAGAACTCAGCAGGGTGAATATTTAGGATCCTAGTAAGGCTTTACGAAAGTGAGGAATAAGTTATGATTTAGACAGTTTTTGTCAATTAAATACAAAGATTTCTATTCATTTTTATGTATTTTTAAACATTTTGTGTTTGGAAACTGCATGTCTCCCATGCAAAGCTCCTGTTTCACTCCAACATGATGGGTATGGGTGATGATGGAGGTGTAAAGTCTATTTAAGCATTGTTCATCTCTGTTCATATCAGAAAGATTTATCAGAGCCTGAGGACAGCAGGTGTCCCTTCTCCAGTGTCCTGGGACAGACTCTGGGACGGCCCATGTCTTTGTCACAGTTGCAGTGTATCACACTGGTGAATCAGAATAGCTGTCATTATATCTATTATAGACTGGGCTTCCCAAACAGTAGATTTCTTGTCCTGCATGAACAGCCTAATAAATCTCAGATTCCTCCTGGTTTTACAACCACATAATTACAGCTATTATATTGTTTACACAAGAAACAGACCTTCACTTTGCTTCTCATTGATTTTACATAGCATTTAGTCAACTTCATACCTCACTGCACAGTAATATTGTGGAAATTGGTCTCATTTACAAATTCCTTATAAAAAAGTTCTATTTGGGAAAGGATTTGGGTTTTAAAGGATCATCAGATCTATAGCAAGTCTCGACTTGGACTAAACCATGGGAGAATAAATGTAGAATTGACCAGGACTATGTCCTGACCAAATTAAACAAATGGACTTATCAACCAAATCTAAACAAGAAACAGCCTAACAACAAAATAGACCTGCAGATTTGAGTCCAGAAACCCCCTTTATTGTAGAAACTGGACTTTCCCCATGTTATCAGTATGGATACACACACACATACATAAAACACACAGACACACACACAGAGCAGCCTCTCCCCTCTCTGACACACCCTCATCCCAAACCACTATATGTCCAAGTGCTATTTGTTCAGCTGGTGCTGGTTCCTCCTCTGTCCCAGGGCAGTGATGGCAGCAGTGTATCCCAAACAGATGTTGTATTTGTGGGCTCTGATTTTTGTCTCCGAGGGTTATAGGTCCTGGAGCAGATTTAAAGGCTTGTGTATTTTTATTACATGGCTCAGTCTCCCACTGGTGCTTAAGGGGGAAAGGGCCCGAAGCATGCACTTGTTATGATAATGTCCCCTGAAAATGACTTTTTAAAATTATTATTATGTTTTTGCTTGTATGAGAAGCATTGAATTACAGGAAAGAACACAGAGTACATGTTTGTTAGTTGGTTCGGTTGATAAAAGGTATGCTTTTACTAGCAGATTAACGCATTTTTTTATTTTTTATTTTTTACT